CACAACAAAGTTATGCGGAGGAGTTGAATTCAAGCTTTATTTTTTCCCAGAAATTTGTAACCCATCCAAAACATACTGAAGTTTTTTTCTGAATGTGAAGACAATATTTATACATTTCTCCATGTTCTCCATTGAGTGACTAGTTAGCAAATTGTACCCACAAACTGAAGTCAAAATGGACAGCAACTATTTAATTTAACCATAAATCAAATTTATGTAATTCAAATAATACATATTCATGGCTGTAAAACTGGTGTGTCCGACATAGATAGAATTAAATATACTTGTTCGGTGGTCAGTGCGTACTGGAAAGGAGTCTCCTGGGAGGTGACTTCAAAAATGATCAAGGAAATGAGTGAGAGCAAGTATCTCGCTCTGTGTAGTCGAATACCGTCTTCTCCGCTTGTCTAGCTCCCGACTGAAATATGTAATAACACGCTCTCACCCATCAGTTGCTACCTGGAAGAAAACAGTCCCTGTAGCATTGGCACCTGCATCTCTGTCAAAACAAAAGGACCAACCAATAGGGATGTGCCTGGAAATTCGAAGATAGGAGATAATCTCGAGTTCTTCTCAAGCTCGTCGAACGCATGTTGACACTCATTGATCCATACAAATTTACGGCCTTTTTCTGTCAATCGGTGCAGAGGCGAGGCGAAGGTGGTGAAATCAGGGACGAAAAGTCAATAGTATGATACCAACCCTAGGAAATCACGAACTTCCTTAGAGTGCTGGGGTATAGGCAACTCTGCAACAAGACGTGTTTTCTCCGGGTCTGTTTAAATACCACTTGATGAGATACGGTGGCCCAAAACTGTGAACTCACTAGAGAAAGGAGCATTTGCAAGGCTTCAACTTAAGACCATTTGTTCTTAAGCGCATAAGGACAATCCGTAGGTAATCAGTATGATCCTCTGGGGATTTCTCATATACAGTAATATCGCCAAGATAGATTAGACACTTAACTTGAATCGACCTGTCAGGAACCACCTGCATTAAGTGTTGAAATGTGGTGGGAGCATTAGATGGCTCGAAGGGCATTGATCGGGAGCATAAAGGCAGTTTAAGAAAGTCGTTCGGATGCAACTCTGCTTGCCGGTACCCGAGTGCCATATCTAGAGTAGAGATCTATTGAGCCGGCAAGTGCATCGAGAGTTGCAACAATGCGCGAAATTAGGAAGGAGTCACGTCTTGTCAAAGCATTCAGTTTGTGATACTCAACACACATTCGGAGGGAGCCATCCTTCTTTTCGACCAAAACGATGGATGACGCCTATAGAGAAGGTGGGGTACGATGATATTCTTGTCCAACACATCTTGTATTAGAGTATCTAGCTGGGGCTGACAGTGAACGGGCTTCCGTCTTGGTGGTTGACGAACAAGTAAGAGACTGCCCATGTCAATACTGTTTTGAACCACGTCGGTGCGTCCCGAATTATCCCCTTCATCAAACACGTCGTGACATTCCCCAATGATCTCTAGCATTTGTCTCCGAATAAGAGCATAGGCTAATTTTTTGACCGAAATTTGATTAGGGGTAGAGGACATGGATAAGTTTAACTCAGGGCGGGTTGGTTGCTGCGAGCGATATAGGGGTACAGAGACTGAGCCAACTATAGTCTGGGAATGGGCGACGTCTATAGGGGCGGAGTGCGGATGGGGAACTGATGCTGGACATTTAGATCTTCAAGGTTTATCTATAAGCATGCGGAAGATCAGGCCTCCATTTTAGAACAGTTAGTTGCTATCAAGACATAGTGAGTGGCTACTGACAGTGAGTAGTGGAGCAAGATTCGGAGGAATGAAGACTTCACGAGTCACGCCGACGCACCAGTATCGAAGAGTATCCTAGAGGGCACTCCGTTAATGCGTCCCCATAACATTAGTGGTCCCCCATTACATAAATATGTGGATACAATACCAAATGAGGACTCACTTTGTTGAACCTGAGGGTTGTGATCACATCTGCGTGCATTTTACTGAACCGTCTACAACAATACCAATCGAGAACACTGCTATCTTCAGGTTTATGCCGTTACTCACAAGAGTATTGTGGCGAGGTTGGCCAACGGAGGCTGCTATAGGTTCCGTGGGGAAGGACGGTAGGTACTTATCTGCATGCAGTACAATTCGCTTCTGATAGTACCCTACGGTGACAATGCTGAGAAAATTACACAAGTATATCAATCCTTTACAATTAATACACCATGTAATTATAAATCAAGAAAGGGACCCGATGACGTCAAGTAAAGTTTTATGGGAGAAATGGCTTCAAGCTTTATTCTTTCTTAGGTATTTGTGATCAATGCAGCTTAGACATGGGTTTTTCACTACTATATTTTCAATGAACTACAGTGACTGACTAGTCAACAGATTGTTCTTACATAATTGGTTCAGAAAGAACAGCAACGAGATAATGTCAGAACAGTCAATTCCTAACATCAAGAAAATCATGGTTTAGAGTTATATATATATATATATGGAGAGCAATCACGCTAGACCTTCAAAGGAAAACTATGATAGAGAGCCTCAGGGTATTACTGGCTTTGCTTAAGCTGGAGAGATAGAATCGAGAAGGCATTACTGGCTTGTAATAGACGAATGCTCCATTGATAGCAAAATCAGATTCTTGCTGAAAATTGCTGTGTAATACGGGATACGCAGAATATAGCGCGACTGATAACAGTCTTCTATAAAATAGTAACAATGACAGTATTACCATACTTCGGAAAATCTTAAGTAAACCTTTCCATGCAGATATGTTACGCATATTCTGCATCTTCGTGTCGTAGAGATCCAAAGTAAAGTCTCTTTAGCTGACGACACAGTCCTATTCAAGCTCAGACCTAAAATCGCCAATAAAAAACAAATACACTTGGTGGAAAACCTATATACAGCCTTAAAAGAACAAGTATCCCTATGGAAGTCGCTTCTACGAGTAGGCTGATAGAACGTCTCCACAACGCAAGAAACTACGGTTTCTCAGAACTAGTCTGTGATTAAGAGATTCTGGTGGACATGAACCTGAAGGGGTCTAAGTTGTCATTATCTCATTAGTATAGGAATAGCTGAAACATTCAGTTTCACCTTTGACGGACAACTAAACAACACTCTGAGCATAACCATTAAGCGAAATAGTCGCTTTGCTAAATCAGCAGGCAAAAAATTAATGGGTATATCCCAAAGTGATGTCACAGTAGCTCTATTAGTACTGATGAAACCCAGTTCAGGCAAGCCCACAGGTTGTGGTGGTGTTCAGAAACCCTATGCACGCCCTTGTGTGATCTGTTTCGGCGCTTCGCAAATGAAGGGAAACTGCCAAGGGAAGAAAGACTAGCTTGATGAAATTAATAATAGCTCTTTACCACTCCTTGGACTTAAATAATAATAATAACATAGATATTGTTAAGCCTGACTGACGACCACATCAGCAAACACCTTGACAGTGATTATATTCTACATAAAGCGCAGAATGATTTCGAGGAAGCTTAGGACAGACCAATAAATCCGGCAATATCGGGGAGTGACTGCAAATATTGCTAGGATGTGTGTTCCAGTTTATCTGGCTTCCCATGATTCAATAAGGAACGGCATGCCAAAGTGCATCGTATCCAATATTTTCTACTAGGCTCGTCCTCGTGAGTCTCAGATGGTTCCATTCCAAGTCTCTTAATGTTTCTGTTATTCATTTGTAGCCTGCCATGCCACCTGAGCTGCGTGACTACTATTAACAGTGTTGTCACAAAGGTTTGGAGAACAACAAAATGTTGGGAAGGTACAGTTAATATAGAAAGCCGAAAAATTCGGAAGAATGAGCACAGAGCAGGGAAACAGTATTCAACTGGTCCAACTAACTTGTTCCCTATGTGACAATGATCTCTTCTGCACAGTGCGAGCCCGATATAAAATCTTGTCTTAGTTGGAAAACTGGAAATAGGTATGTACTACTCCGCTGGAATAGTGAGAGTATATGCATTGATGCACTTCATACATAGAAAATTAGATGCACTAACTCCCTACCTTTCTTTAACTAGTCTGAAACATATGTGCGACTACATTTTGTGGTGTTTGACATGAACATTTCGTCGATAATCAGCAGGGATTCCAGTCCGTGGGAAAGGGTTCAAAGTAGGTCACTAGCAGAAGCTATTGGCCAGCTGAATAAAACCCGTATGAGGACATTAATTATTTTCACCCTTAGCCACCATTGGCTTAGGGATTATATAATGATCACCTATAAGGTTTAAAGTAACCGGGATGACTCCAAAAAAGGCACTCTACAGCTGATTCACTATTGTTTCCCTAGAGGAAACCCACAAATGCTAGCACACTAGAGCACAAGTCTCCACAAGTTTGCCGCCCTTGGGGATGTTTGCCACTAACTGTGGCAACTGAATATCCACCGAAAGCCTCGAATAGGGTCTGAATGATAATGCCGTCAATTAGACCAGTCTGTGACATCCTCCTCACACACTCCATCGTATCAGTGGTTCTCAAACGAAAACGTTCTTAAATTCCTTACAGTCTTCCTTGTATTATTCTTCTTCTTGCTCTTTCCACTGATTCACTTTTCAATAATCTGTTTCTTTATTTGACAGCTTACACTTTTGAGTTCATATTTTGCCCTTTGTCATATTATTATCGAGCTTTTCACCATAGCATACGACTAACGGGTGGAAGAACCAAATGAGATCACAAAAGTGTTTTTTCGCTAACTGTATTTATCAGATATACAACAACGTTCCTCACCCTGAAGAATGGAATTAATAAGCGTATATTCTTTTATCTAGAATTTATTGAGCACTACTCCTTTTGAAGTCAACCAAAGCTACGACAGCTAAGTAGCGGGACAAGCTACGCAGGAGTCTACCAAAGATCAGGAATCTATACCTCACAATCAAGAGACGAGCACAAAGAAATCAAATTAGTTTATACTAGCTCGTAAAAGCGATATTGGATATTGGAGTGTTGCTGATTGACCTTCCGCGTCATACAAACTAATGTGGAAAGCATTGCTTCGTAAAGCATTGTCGTCTATCAAACGACCGTTTATAAATTTTGATGTGGAAAATAGAGCCTTAAGACACTTGGAAAAAACCAAGGATGTGGCGAAGGCTGCCCCAAAGCATCCTGGTACGGCTGTTGTAGTAGATGAACGATATGAAAAATTGTCTTCACACAATCCTAAGTTGGATGCGGATATTAATTCCTTTGAAATTAAGTCAGAAACAATTACTGAAGGCATACTTCCTAGTGGAGTAAACTATGTCAAAAACTCAACCCGCAAGCTTCCACAGGTTTGACGATTTTTAATTTCTTATTGTGGAGATATCTTAGAAAGTCACTTCTTTTGATCCCTATCCTACACCTCATGAAGAATTTGGTTTTATCGTCCCAGAAACAGTTCCCAAAGGAAAATTAACAATGCGTCAGGCTGTTGAACTCATGAAGTCATATCAGACAGGCACTGAAAGCGCTGATAATTTGAGCAAAACGTACAACATTGATAAAGATAAGGTAATCCCAGTCAAAATAGTATAATTCCAAGTAGATGGAACACATTTTGCAACACTTTTCCCTGTTTGGTGTCGCTGATGAACGTATTTGGATGCCCACTCACCTTTTGTCTCTTCCCGAACAAAAGCTGTTATCGGAACCTGTCGCAGATACACCTAATGATAACGAGCGCATTGGAGGAAGTGCCTACAATCAAAGGAAAGATGCTTTAGAGGGTTTCAAAACTAAATGAATAGGGAATGATATACCTTAAATAAATAGTACATAAGTACTTTTGTGCTGACTTCCCTTCTAATTCAAAGCCTTAAATGCTTATCGCTCTCACTTTTGTTTCTTCGTAGGCATGCATTCGCTGAAATTTTGTCTTCGTACATATCGCTGTTGGGATATCTTTCGTTGTCAGACGGTTATTGCTCGGTGTTATACGTCCAAATTATCATGGTTACCCGATGACTTAGTTGAACAGTTTCACACATTTAAGAAGCATACTATATCGAAGTATGATAATATCAGTAAACTCATGTCATCAGAATCAAGTCACAGTGATATGTAAGTTGAATACAATGACACTCCAAATTTTATCTTGAGTTGCACTATCGCAAGAATATGATTGCACAGCTTCGTGTTATTAGTGTGAGCTTGTTAGTTGCGTTCCATATTTACTTAGGGATTCCATGGATATATGAAAGTCACTTTCTTATTGCAAGCCGTGTAAAGTGTACATTGTTATAGATATCAAAATCGCTTCTATGAAGTGGAAAAATGTTTTGAGAGAAACAACTGGTAATGAATTATAGGAGGGAAATTTTTCGCGTAGGATAGTACTATACAGTACTGCAGGACTGTTATCCGTATTCCAAGTTTAACCATTTTAATTTCCAATACAAGTCCTGTTTTTGAGTGTAATGATAGTATCCAGCCATTTAAACGTCGTTTGGAGTAGTACATTTTGAGCTTGGAAGACGAGCGTCTGAATCTGTAAAATTCAGGTAGAAAGTATTTAGCAATGCATTTCGTGTAGAGTATATGTAAGATATTTCATTGTACAACTTCCTTGAAGACTTTATTATGGGTATCATATTTAAGAATTTCTTATTTGCAGTATTCAAGGCAAACGGTCAATGAAAACCGGTCACATACTTGCGTATGTTTTGCTTCCACTCATTTTTTGGGAACTTAATTAACATCATGTCTTCAGTTGTCTGAGATTATTTGTTTTCCTTATGTATGCTCCGAACAAGGTGATTATACTGCACTCGGATGTATATTTTAGCCTTTCAATCATGATCTGAACATTGGGATTATGTTTACCAAGTTCATAGGGTGTACTCAAAAGTATTATCTTTAAAAACAGAGTGAATAAACATTTTATATATGACTTTGTAGACATATACATCCGCTTGGTATTTGACGCATGTAAAACTGAAATAATTATTTACTTGTTAATACTGCTGATTGTAAGAGTTTTCCTTAAGAGTGGCCATACGGACTGTAATTGACTGTTGTGTTCTGAGACATGTGGCTTAAATTATCAAAAAATTTTGCGACGGTATATCTGTTTAAATTAAGACAAACTGAAAAATTTGTTTTAGCCTCATAAGATAAGACTCAATGGAAATTCGACCAAGAATAGTAGTCCAGAATACAGCTTTTACGGAATTATAGGCTGGGCATACATAACTATCATAGTGTTGCTGAGTGACAAGTTGAGTAGCTTGATTTTTATCAAATTCAGAAGGACTGTAACTGTCGAACAATGAGTAATCTTGTACTTCCAGCGAAAGCTTGGGCATATCATTGGATATTGTCGGAATTGGTTGATTCATGAAAACTTTGGAATTACCCTTTGGTCTACTGATATATGTATATATGGTTATTTTGTAGTTGGTTTTTATGTAAGAGATTGCTTGCACACATTTGGCAAATTTGAATACTTAGAAAATGGTAATATGAACTAACTTTGAAGTACTAGTGCACATTTAATATTTTACAGATGAATAACTAACCAAATTAAAGAGGTAATTGGGACAGGTAACTAGAATGACTGCCTACCGATTCGATGCCACCTTCCTGTTAACTGCATCTAATTTAGACTATAGTGTGACTTGCCAGTTCCGCTTGTGTAAATTCACATCATCTAGAGGTGAACTAATGCATTTTTTAGCGTATTGCTCTATGTATGCGTAGACGTGACTCAGATTCACCATTTCATTTCATATGTCAGTAATGTTTGGCACTTTCCTGTCGCTTCTTGAAGGGTAATCGTTCCGTATCTCTCGCTGTTGTAATATTTTTGCATTTCCGAAACAAAGTTTTAAGGCAAATCACCTAGCTGTGTTTTAACTGTAGTTTAGCGTAGACCTTAAATTGAGCATCAACTGTGACAATTTGGAATACTGCAGGCAAAATGTACCCACTATACAATGTGTAGTCTACTTTTAGACCGTCACGTGGATTTAGCACAATGGATGGGATACTTCACAGCGCTGCCTCTCTTTTTTTCCAGAAGAAAATCCTCAGTAGAAAACATTAAATATCTATTGAGAAAGTGATAGTTCACATGTCTCTTACCTAACTACTGTAATATTATCTGTTTTTAGGTAAGTTTTCATGGATCATCACGTGTGCTTTCCATTGTGTTACGTTTCTTACAAGCTTTGTGCAGCTATTAAAAGTAAAATTGTTAGTTGATAACTGAAAAAACCCTCGAAATTGCTTTTATTACCAAATGGTTTATGTAAATCAATCTCTGGGAATTATACACTACAGTGTAACTGTCTATCCTCTGAAATGCCGTTGCATTCTACACAAACTTCTGTAAGTGAAGCTTAAATCGTGTCTGTTCAGTCTGTTACTTTCCATAAGAAATCCATAAGCCCGAACGACAGTTGCTTATCGTCACTAGGATGTTCAACTTGGATTTTCAGAGGCTAAAAATATGAAAGAAATCATTATATTTCTGATGGATGGTGCGGTACGTCTTTCAATCTGTTTTGTTGCTTTTCTGTTTTGAACATTTGTGAATATTGATGTAGTCAGTTTTCTTAAATAAAACTATACAGGGTATCGTTATCGGAGCATTGGAAAGAATTAAGACCAATAGTGGATATAATAGAAGAGTTAGATGTTCTTCTTGAAGCTGACAATGAAATCGAAAAACTTGTTGCAGGTAATGTACTTTTTAAGTTCATTAATACTCCTTATGAACAGTTTATTTCGCAAACATTTCAAATTTGATTTATTTCCACTTCTGTAGACTTCGGATAACTATCTGAATGGTGTCACCACATTTAGGTGAAGTAATATGAATTCATGACTTTCGTCTAAATTAATTTTTCTACTCAGGATGGTACAAACAGTAACCTAGAAATGATGCATAATAACACAACGGTCGCGCTTCAGGTTTATAGGCTGATATTTATGTAATGAATAACAATTAAATGTTAAATGCAAAGTGTGTGCTAATGTGGAAACCATTGGCCAGTATCCTATTATAATTCAATTCTTGATTATATCTTCAATCATCACGCATTATATAATCGCTACTCTGCTGAATTAGAGCTATCTCTCATAGTCCCTCCTGCAAATAATCACCTGATTTTCCTTGTTCCATTTACTCTATTCGGGAATAGTAGGAGGGAGACTAAGTACAGTTCAGGACTCATATATGCATAAAACTTGGGCACTGTGGCAGTATATAATTTCATATTAATTTGTTTACTGGGTGTATCACGCAGTCAAGCAGTGTTATTTAATGGATGACGTTTTGAACAAAATTTATTATTCATAATTATATCAGTTACAACTACATAACTTTGAGATTTGAGTTTCATTGTTCTGTGTATTCCTTCTCATTCGTCGTAGAAGTAGTTGAATTTTCCAGATGTCTGAGATAGGCGTTGAATCATTCCCATTGCACTGTTTTCGGTTGGTTCGATAAATAAACCTTTTTCTTTTTACGAGTTGATCACAGATTGATATCAGTTAGAGAACCACTGAAAACCAGGGAGTACTGGACAGCTGTTTCATCCTAGTTTGGGAATCATCGGCAGTACGCACTTACTGCAAGGGTTCGAACCCAGGACCTTCCGGTTACAAGGCAAGCTCGTATACCATTCAGCCACTGGGACCCGATTCATTGGCTCGTGAATTCTAACTTCTACCAATCCGTGTCCCACCGACGACATTGGTTGGGGTCGCGCTAAATCACGAATTGTTATATTAGATTCTAAGATTATCATCTTATTCCATCCTATTGTATGATTGTTTAACTGCTAGTAGCGCTATAGTTGAGCTGTTTTTTTAGATTTAAAAAAAAATCTTATTAAGATCAACTAATCTATAATTTGCTAGGTTTTCGTCTAATTGACCCCGTTCTACTACTATGACCTTTGCATTTGATCTGACAGTTATTTTAGGCTATTAGATAAGCTAAATTGTTTTGTTTATTGGGCTCCACAGGATCCCTTAACTCCTAACACAGTTTGTTTCTGTGTAGGTCTGTAGGCTGGAATGGCATTTTTATTCCTGCTTTGTTAAGAATTATTCAAACCTATATCTCTAATGATGATGTAAAACTAATTTATTGTGTTATTGATCGTTAGAATACTGTTTAGTTCTACACATTATAGTACTAGATGTAAGGGATTACTATTCACAGGTATATAAAAGCTTAGATAGAATACGCTGCTTACTTATTTATTCAGTTTGTACAGTTGTTGTGTAGTTTAAACTCCTGTGATACTAGTCTATCGCCTAAATTTGCTTATTTCTTTTTCAAATTATGAATTTATAAAAGTTATTCAATCCATCTTAATGTCTTTTCCATACATCATAAATGATATCCGTAGCAACAGTGTAAAACGTAACCTAATGATGCATTTTCTGAATTCATACTTCTCAATGAAAAAAAGGTTGAAAGTCAACCGAAAAAGGCAAAACACTAAATAAATTGTAATATAACTTATATCTATGATTTGTTTTACTGAAACGTGTCAACAAAATGGCTGAATAACTGTTCACTTCTGTGACATAGTACATGTACATGTAGCTGATTTTTGACCTTCTTATCCATCTTAATTGGTGGATGGTGACTAGCAGTAGAATCCAGGATGCGCATTTCGTCCTATTCAGGACTCGTCATCTCGAGTCCACTGCTACTCACTGTTCACCACTTAACATCTAATTACAGGCCCAGACATCGCTGAAGCCGACATGCCAACCTAAGACCGA